CTATACAGTCCTAATGGTATAAAAGGCCTCTTTTTATAGGATCAAATCAAATCAACAAGCAAAACAATGGAGTTGTATCCAAGTGTTCTGTTCTAAAAAGTGGTAAACAAATGTACTATGTACACACCTTCATATACATACACACAGACTTGTATGAAAACACACTTGGACACTTATACACACACAAACACAATCATATACTTACACAAAGTCTTATACACGCAAAGGCTTTTACACACAAGGACTCATATACAAAAACACACATTCACAGACAAATACACGCATAAAGCAACTCACACACACTCATATGCACCAGTGGATTGAGCAGGTCACCAATGTAATGTGACTGCTGGTTTCACTGATGATTGACCCATTTTTAGCACTTTAGCCGATTGTTTACAAAAGAACAGTTTGATAAATTTCCTCCATTGGGTTTTCATCAAACCAGATTTCTTAAAACATTTACAAGGAGTTTCCTGATGAATGGTGAAGGCTGATGGTGCTGAGTTGCAATAAACTGGCAAGTTTAAAGGATTTAAATATCTGTGCTCAGTACGAGAAAATTGTCCTCTTCCCCTGGGTAGAAGCTACAAAGCCAATTCCAGTAAGAGGTGATTTGGCAAATATCAGTGACATCGTTATTATAAAGAATGGTGGCGAGGTAGGTTTTAAATCCATTGCTAGTTTAAAGCATTCTGCATCAGCAAACATGCATTTCATTTGTAGCAATGTTGATCAAAATAAACTAAGGCAAATACCATTGTTTTAGGGTCAGAATGTCCCAAGTGTCTACTGAATTCTTAACTGACTCTGCATTCAACTGTCTTTAATTGGAAGACTATGAGAACGGGTGAGTGTGAACTTGCTTGCAAGACAAATAAATGTACATACCGGGTGTTGGCTTAACACCATCATTTAAGCATATTGTGCGTCGACAGCCTGAAACCACCACTTATTGTTCCTGCTGCATGATGGGACTGTTTGTACTTTGTAATGCCAAGAGATCAGCAGGAATGTGAAGTGTCTCATTTATCAGTCTAATGGCTGCAAAACAAGTACATGGTGTCATTATAAGCTTAGAGGCAGGGTCCTCGCTTCTTTTTGTAATATATATGTTTATATATATCGTAAATCTGAATTCCCTCAATTGTACAGCATTGCAGAATTTGTTAGCACTATATAGATACTAAATAATAATTATAGTAATGGATAAAGACGCAACATAAAGGGAAATGCATGAAAACAAAGACACCAATGGTAAGACTTATTAGCTCAAAATATTTTTCTTAACCAAATTTGTTGGATTCTAAAAGAGATAAAGAGGTAAAAAAGCAGATCTTCCAAAACAAGTAAATTACAAGTAAAGGTATTGGGAGTCCATGATCAATTCTTCATACTCGAGTTTTGCGCTATGCTGATCCAACGCAGTGGATTTTAAAGAGTGTCTATAAATATCTCTATCTAAAATATTAAAATACCCATCAAAATATCTCTTAACTTTTTGTTGCATTTCTACAGTGACAAAAATTGAGAATTGCTTTGTGTTTGGCCAGGAGAGCGGTGTTATATAAACTGTTATATCTCTTATTATCTAAAACTATCCATTACGGTTTTTAATTAGATCCAGGCTAAAGCCAATTTCAGCATCTGGGTATGCCACACCTGTGACGTGGATGGATTGTCTCAGCAAAGGAGAAGTGCTCACTAACACAGATTTAGATAGACCTGTGAACAATATTTGAGAGAAATAGGCCTTTCGTGTACATAGAAAAAGTCTTAGATCTTTGAGTTCAGTTCATGAAAAAACTAAAGTGTTGCGTTTATAATTTTGTTCAGTGTGTATGTGTGTGTGTATATATATTCTTTGTTAAACTAATTTGCATATGCCCACCCAGAATCCTTTGCGGTTGTAACATCACTGCTGATTTGGGATTTCTGTGGGAAAAGCAAGTCTTATGGCTTGACTGGTGTGCAGATTTTTGTTTAGCATTGTATTAACTATATATATATATATATATATATATATATATATATATATACATATATATTAGTCTTCTACTCATAAAATACATAATAGCCTGGCATTATGTAGAATTCTACTGTATAGAACTATCCGGATCACAAATAAATAATCTGGTGGGTATGTTAAAAATATTATACAAAATAAATCATTGCATATTTATAAAGATCCAGTTATGTTTTGTCTCCTAAAATAGACATAATATGCACAAAAGGAGCTGTAATGTCTATGCGTTTCACAGTTTGTAAACATATATACCTTCAGATTAAAGCACTGCATGCTCCTATTTTAATTATTTTCAAATGTAATCTGTTTTGAATGCATTTTGAAAAAGTTACTTGCCATGATTATTCCTCTATTACTCTAATTCTGCAATGAATTCATGGAAAGAGGTACTGGCTTTGATTATACAATCAATACTGGTCTGACATATATGATTTTTTATGAGTATTATTTTTTAGAGGGAAGCTGAGCGACCTCTGTATTATCATTAAGTAACACAATCCAGGGAAAAAAGGGAGATACAGGGTGCAGCAGAACCGATTAAGCAGTTTTGAGGGGTTATAAAAAATTAACTGAGGTATATAGAGAAAAACTGTTTTTATTTTTTAATTTAGCTTTAAATACCATTTTATTTTCATTAAGGTTTGAAAATAATGTCTTCGAGAAGGCGGCCATTAGCAGCAACACACTGTTGGAAACGATCTCTGAAGTTTTGTATAGCTTGTTCACACATATCGCGGCGTTAACTTCTTCAATAATCTGCTCCCTTAGCTCTGGTAGGGTGTGAGGGAGATGTTTGAACACTTTTTCCTTCAGATATCCCCAAAGAAAAAAATCGAAAATGCTCAAATCTGGTGACCGCGCCGGCCACCCCACATCACCCCTCAGAGAGACCAGACGTCCGGGAAACATTTCTTTCAAAACATCGAGTGAATTTCAGGCTGTGTGGGCTGTAGCCCCATCCTGTTGGAACCAGAACTGACCCAATTCCTCTTGTTCATCAATCTCTTCCATTCTTGGCTGCAAAAATGTTTCCAACATTGAGACATAATGTTCAGAATTCACGGTCACGCCTTCCTTCTCAAAAAAGTACTGGCCTATCACACCGAATCGTGATACGGCACCCCACACCATTAGTTAGGGGATTGTAGCGGTCTTTCATGAATCATTTGGGGGTTATTTTGAGCCAAGTAGCGGAAATGTTGCTTATTCACAGTTCCACTGACATGAAAATGTGCCTCGTCCCTACTGAAGAAAGCTGCTGTGGGAGGGATCTGTGCAAGCATTTGCTCACACAGTTTTCTGCGGTTGGCGTAATCTGCTACACTCAATTCCTGAGCCAACATCATCTTGTAGGGATGAAACTGCAAATCTAAATGAAGAATCCTCCTCCCAAAGCAACAGCATGCTTTCGAGCAGAACGTCCTGGTGACTGCTCAATTGCTGCTCTCACCAGCTGCCCATTTTCCGGTGTTCTTATGGACCTGCGTCGTCCATGTGTACCTCTTCTAAGCATGGTGCCAGTTTCCTCCAACTGCCTAACCCATGACCGAATTAGGAACTGTGTTGTTGCACAGAATGTTGAACCGTCGCTGAAAAGCTCTTTGCATCACGATTACAGACTGGTTGATTCTGAAATACGCCCACACATCAAAGCCTCTATGTACTCTGTTCCAAACCATACTGGCTACTGAAATGGGGTGACGGATGGATCACAATGAGACCAGATGCACCTGCCTCCCCCCACCACAACCCGAGCATTGACCCCTCAAAACTGCTTAATTGGTTCTGGTGAACCCTGTACTTGTAACTATGCAAGAAATTTTAATCTTTATCACAGAGAGTATTTCTAACCACATGATTAACTATGTGACTTAGTGATCTGATGCAATAATATAAAGGTGTTTATTCACTAAACTTGTAGTGAATTGAAAAACAATGGAAACATTTGTGTTACAATAGCCCTGTTGTGATTGTAGATAAGTGAAGAATTTTTCAAAATTAGTACAAATCAGATTTAAATTTACTACAATTTGCTGTTCAGTGAATATAACCCTTTTGTGGTAACAAAGGAAGAGTATGCTGTCATGTTTTTTACCGTAAGAACAATAAGGATGGGGGATTTTCTACCTGAAGAGGTGGTTTTATCAGAGTCTGTACAGATGTTTAAACAGCAACTCGATGAATACTTGCAAAAACAGAATATTCAGGGATATAATTTTTAATTAATTGGTTAATAGCTTCCTTAAAGGACCACTCTAGGCACCCAGACCACTTCAGCTTAATGAAGTGGTCTGGGTGCCAGGTCCAGCTAGGGTTAACCCATGTTTTAATAAACATAGCAGTTTCAGAGAAACTGCTATGTTTATTAATGGGTTAAGCCTTCCCCCAAAGCCTCTAATGGCTGTCTCATTGACAGCCACTAGAGGCGTTGGTGCGTGCTTCTCACTGTGATTTTCACAGTGAGAGCACGCCAGCGTCCATAGGAAAGCATTGTAAATGCTTTCCTATGCGACCAGCTGAATGCGCGCGCATCTCTTGCCACGCGTGCGCATTCAGCCGACGGGGCGGAACGGAGGAGGAGAGAAGGAGGAGAGCTCTCCGCCCAGCGCTGAAAAAAGGTAAGTTTAAACCCCTTTCCCCTTTCCAGAGCCGGGCGGGAGGGGGTCCCTGAGGGTGGGGGCACCCTCAGGGTACTATAGTGCCAGGAAAACGAGTATGTTTTCCTGGCACTATAGTGGTCCTTTAACCAATGAGAGATCTGACTGCCATTCTGGGGTCAAGAAATATTTTTTTCCTAGGTTTTTTTGCAATATTGGAAAGTGCTTCAACCTGGGTTTTTTGTCTTCTTTTGGATCAACAAAAAAAAAAAACACATGTGAGATAGGCTAAACTTGACGCATGTCACTTTTCAGTCGTGTGACTATGTAACTCCTTAATAGTGATGTTCCGAACTGTTCGCCACGGACTCCCGTCAGCTGACACATTCCAGCCAATCAGCAGCAGACCCTCCCTCCCAGACCCTCCCATCTCCTGGACAGCTCACTAAGAATGCAGCTTCAAAATGGATGCTGTCCAGGAGTTGGGAGGGTCTAGGAGGGAGGGTCTGCTGCTGATTGGCTGGGATGTGTCAGCTGACGGGAGTTCACGGCGAACCGTTCGGGACATCACTACTCCTTAACAATGAGTTGTTGCAATGTATCACAATGACAGACTATGCAACATAAGGTCAACAAGCAAGCACTAAAATTCAAAATTAAAAAAAATAAAGAAAAAGACAACTCCCCTACTGCACCATGCAGACACAGTACAGACAAGAATAATAAAATGTCCTTCTGCACCCCTTATGAATTGCTTGTTAAAGAATATGTTTGGCCTTGTTAAGCTTGTTTGTACCAATAATTTTAATTTGCATTCTTTATGAACCAAGATTACAGTATTTGATCAGTGGTTCTGACTCTGCTTCACTTAATAGCCCAGTATAGTTTATGACAGTGTCTTTTTTTTTTTTAAATGTTACTCAATTACATATGCCATATATGACAACATTATACCTGTTGTCTCATGAACTATTGCATCAGAAAAGATTGCAAAAAAAAATTCTGACCCATCACTGCATTGTTGAGTATTTTAGAATTAATGATTAACACTTTTAAAAGGGGCACATGTGTATTACTGTCTGGTACTGTGTGACGATTGTATTTAATCTCCATCATCAGATGTCCTCTTGTAACAGAAACAAAATCTCTGCGTGTAAAGGTATAGACTATGTTTGCTAAACAGTGAGTGTTAGCAGATCAAAAACCAAACTGCATAGTTCAGGCTAAAATAATTAAGCTGTTTTTTTTAACAAATCAGCTCCTACATTTTGTAATTCAATATAAAATTCACTAGCATCCCATAATTTTTATATTAACAACACAGCCAAAATAAAGCATTGCTTAAGGGAACATTGCAATAATAATAATAATAATAATAATAACAATAATAATAATAAATACAAAAAGCTAAATACAAAAATCTAATAAATGTACTTTCTACTTAAAATAGTTTCAAGACTGCACGTAAGCTGCACACATACTCATTTATCATTTTCTTTTCCAGCCCCCTTTAAATATCTAATGCAATTATTCCCTCTGATATAAATTAAAGCTGACTGTGCTGGCCATTAACAAGGTTGTAATTACCCTTAAAGTGTAAAATGTTATTGAGGGTTCCTTAGCAGTGCCTGTGTCATGGATGGATGGGTGGGAGGGTGAATGGATGGGTGGATGGAATATTAGCTTATTTGGGCAGGGACCTGTTCCTGTAAGTCCAATTAGTCTTGTTGCAACTACTTGTTTGTTAGTCTACCTAGTCTAATGTAAGTAACTTTGTGGTATATATTATTAGCTCATGGTCAATTCCAAAAACATCCTCCAATCTCCATTTTGTATTCTAGTATACTTCCAGGACATACTTGAAAACAAGATGAATCTCAATGTATCCTTCCTGGTAAAATATATTATAAATAAATGAAAATAAAAACAACAGACATTCTTTGGTCGAGTAATACATCAAATGTTTTTTTTTTTGTTTAGTCCAGTTGTCCTCCATCAGATGTTCTGTGGTTTCTTATAGACCTCCTCATTATAACACAATGCTAGTCATTACAGGCATCCTACCTTAGATTTGCTGTGGGTCAGTTTAGATGTCCTCCCCCTTAATATAATGTGGTACAGAGTAGACCTCCTCTATTATGCATTGTGTGTTCTTCATTTTGTGAGTCACTCAGTGTTCTCATTCATACATCTTGTGGTTCAAACAAAACATCCTCCATCATAAATCTTGTAGCTCAGTCAAGACATTCTCTATCATACATTTTGTGATTCAATCAAAAAACCCTCCATCGTAAATCTTGTGTTTCAGTCAAAACATCCTCCATCATAAATCTTGTGATTCAATCAAGACGTCCTCCATTTTACAACTTTTGATTCTGTCAAGAAGCCCTCCATAATACATTGCATGGTTCTGTCAAGACATCCTGCGGTTCAGGCAAGATGTCCTCAATTATAGAACTTGTGGCTCTGTCAAAAGGCCCTCCATCATACATCATGCGGTTCAGTCATGATGTCCTCCATCATTAATCTTTTGGTGCTGCCGATATGTTCATCTAGACCCTGGATAGGCAACCTTTGGCACTCCAGATGTTGTGGACTATATCCCCCATAATGCTCTTACATCCATAATGCTGGCAAAGCATCATGGGAGGTGTAGTCCAAAACATCTGGAGTGTCGAAGGTTGCCTATGCCTGATCTAGACATTCTAATCATATTTTGCTTGTTTATTCTTGACATTCTAAATCGGACGTCTTGCTGTTCGGTCATGAATTCCAGTCAGGAGAACTAGAGTAATGTGTCTAACATTGTTTGCATGTGTTCTCCAGACTCTCCACCTACAAAGATCCTCAATGCAACAGTACCACCTGCAAACTGTTTGACAAAGTCCCCAAAAGTACACATCAGTGCATCATGTCTGCAAAACTCATGATAAGTCTTTTGATATGAGAAAAAAAAGCCAATCACAAACATGTATGCTTTTTATAACGCTCTAAATTGTACTACAGCCCACAGGAATATAGCATGTGGAAACTCTGATATCTGGAGGTTAGAACTCTACAATTCCAGAAATACAAAACGCTGTTTGTAACAATTATAATAATACACCTGTACCGCCATTGTCAATGTGCAATAGCCACATGGGGTCTCATTAGTATTGTATTAGGACTGCATGGGGAAAGGGATAATGGCCCATAATGAAAAATGCCAAATTTTCAATATAATAAAAATGAACTTGATTAATGAAAATCACTTTCAGGGAAAGAGTTACTGCGTTGTTAGAAATAAAAAATGATGTATTAATCCGACACTCTTACAGATGGTCCCAACCTCCTGACAACTGCTATTCATTTGAGATGTTATTAGCATGCATAATTATGCTAATTAAGTTGTAATTAAGCACTGATTCTTCAGAGGGTTTTTTTTTTTTTTGCTCTATCATTTAATACGACTTGGCGATAGATTTATATTTCATACGAAAGGAGATCCCAAGCCTCTTAATAAAAAGTATAAGAATCCTTAAAAAAGCAATGAGGGTCTTATAGTGGGGTAATACAAATTCTGGCGTGGTAATAAAGATGGATTTCTTGTGCCGTACATAAAAGAGTAACTGAAAGGTTAACAAGAAAGCAAAATGTCGTAGTTAAATATTTATAGATTTAGGTAATTTATCGGTTTTATTCACTGAAGGGCTAGTCACTAAAGTGAGAAATCGAAGTGAATTTAAAATTTAAGGCCAAAGTTGTTGAACTGTTAGCGCAGCTGACTTTGAGAACTCTTTCCGTTCAACTACTTTGGCCTTAAATTTGAAATTCACTTTATTAAATAACCATGTGTATATTTATAATATACAAAAAAATGTGGAAGAAAGTAAGAAAGTAGTAAAGCCCATTAGACAAGCTCAATACCCCAGTCACAGATGTATTGCTGGTACAGTTATTCATCAGAGTGGAAATTGTCAAGAATTCAAAGTGAATTTCAAATTTAAAGGGAAATTATAGGCACCCAGACCACTTCATTCCATTGAATTGGTCTGGGTGCAGTGTCTCTGTCATTTTAGACCTGCAGCTGCAAACATTGGGTTAACAGGGTAAACCCTGGGCGTCCTAATTCTTTGCATCAGGTCATCCAGCGTCTTCCAAATCTCCATAGGGAAACATTGATTCAGTGCCTTTCTATTGATAAGGCCTAATGCACGTGGAATCAGGACCTCAGCTCTGGAATCAGGTAAGTGTAAAGAGAATTTTTAACCATTTATTTCCTAATGGGGATTACAGGGGGAGAGGGAAAGGGTGGCAGGAAGATACTATACCGTTAAGAATACGTTTTTTAGGCCAAGTAGCCAAACTGGAAGTATATCTGATATGGAGGATGTTTCCATTTTGATCTTGAATTTGAAATTCACTTTGAATTCCTGACAATTCTCCAACAGGATTATTTACCAAATAGAGAGATCAAAGTGAATTTAAAATTTAAGACCAGAATAGCTGACTATTTTGACCTGAAATTTGAAATTCACTTTAATTCACATTGAATATTTATTTAATCAATAACCCCATATATACTTCCACTTTATTATTTTGTGCTTATTGCTAATTGATTACCATGAGGGCTATTTCTACTGCCACTAAACAGGTAAACATTACATTAACTTTGTATTGAAGAAGGCTTAAAGGACCACTCTAGGCACCTAGACCATTTCAGCTTAATTAAGTGGTCTGGGTGCCAGGTCCCTCTAGGATTAACCTTTTTTTTTTATATAAACATAGCAGAGAAACTGCTATGTTTATAAATGGGTTAATCCAGCCTCCAAATCCTCTAGTGGCTGTCTCATTGACAGCCGCTAGAGGCGCTTGCGTGCTTCTCACTGTGAAAATCACAGTGAGAAGACGCAAGCGTCCATAGGAAAGCATTGTAAATACTTTCCTATGAGACCGGCTGTATGCAGCTCCTGCCGCGCATGCGCATTCAGCCGAAGAGGAGGATCGGAGGCGGAGAGGAGGAGGAGAGCTCCCCGCCCGGCGCTGGAATAAAGGTAAGTTTAACCCCTTTCCTTGCCATCCAGCCCGGCGGGAGGGGGTCCCTGAGGGTGGGGGCACCCTCAGGGCACTATAGTGCCAGGAAAATGAGTATGTTTTCCTGGCACTATAGTGGTCCTTTAAAAGGTTAGTCCATGCCCAAAATATTGTATCTGTTTTTATACTATATACTGTCACCACCCTCTGCTCCTGGCTCAGCTATCCAGTACAGATCTCTTTTTGAAGGCTATCTCTGCTCAGCAAATAAAAGCTACAAAATTAATCCTACCCATCACTAAACATGGTCTATTGAGTATGATGTCAGTGCTGGAGACAGAATCCAACTCATTGCAACAGTAATGTTTAGGTTTATCAAACGGGATCTAGGTTTTCCAAAAGTCTGCAGGTTTCCAACACTGATACACTAGTTCATTATGGAGTTTTTAATAATAATTATTATTATTATTTGCATTTTCATTTATACAACTCTAACAATTACAGAATGGGTATATTTAACATGTTTTTTTATTTTTTTATTTAGGTGGACAGTATAGGGAGCAATTGTGTCAGGAAAACAACTTTTTTTCCGACACTATAGTTTCCCTTTAAGTACTTGTCAGACAAAATAATGTTGACAGATACAAGAGGTCAAAGGGGGTCCTACTCAAACAAGTTTACAATCTAGGAGATCTACATCTGTGCCATTGACATGTAAATGCATTTTTGCCCAGTCTGTCATTTTTCTTCTAACAAATAACTAGGCTTATTCACTAAACTGGGAATTGTAGGAATTGACAGTGAATTAGGTAACGATTTTCAGATATTCAGCAATTTTGCCATAAATTGAATGTCACTTTTAATTCCTAGCAATCCACTCTTGAATTAACTTGCCAGATGTTTATTTACTTAACCAGGAACTATAAAGAATTGACAAAGAGATTTTACATTTTAGGTTACGATTGCTAGAAAAATAAACACATTTGAGAATTCTTCAAATTCTGCCGTTTTGTCTAAAAGTCACAATTCCATTCTTAGTATTCTACAAGTTACACTTTAGTGAATAAATGTCAATAAGCACTGTCAGCAAATCATTTTATTTTAGTAGTCAGAATAATCTAGTTGATTATGAAGAAAAAAAGGTTTGAATTTAAAGGGATTCTATAGTGCCAGAAAACAGCAGTTTTCCTAGCAATATAGAATCCTACAGTAATGGTGTAAAAACCTCATCAGTCACTTACCTGAATCCAGCATCGATGTCCCTCAGCGCTGGGTCAGGCTGCGTCCACACTCCTCCCCCACCGACGTCAGCCAACGAGGGAGACCTAATGCGTATATATGCGGCAATAGTTGCTCTCACATTAGGATTGCCCCACAGGAAAGCATTATTCAGTGCTTTCCGATGGGGGAAAACCTGATGCTGGAAGTCCTCATGCAGACCGTGAGGATGTCCAGCATTAGATAATGGACCAAAGGTCAATTTCAAACGAGGAAGTCCTTTAGTGGCTTTCTGGTAGACAGCCACTAAAGGTGGAGTTATCCCTGCATAGTAATTTAGTGGTTATATTGCTCTTTCTCTGTATTTTTTCATTCAGAACCTGTCCCTTCTTGAGATGAATTTATACTATACAATAGTCTGTGTAATTTCTGCTCAACCTGGACAGCAGTGATAGGCTAACACTACTGGACTAGAATCATTCATGTACGAATATACGACTAAAGGTTCTACGTATTGCCCAGAGAAGGATTATTATCCCACAGGTTCTAGACATTCTACCAGTTCAGGGGCCCCCTCTTCATTGTTCACGTAGAGATGTTGAAACTAGCCAAGCAAATTCATGGTTCTAGGGTCGCTATCTAAACCCTGGGCAGCCGCCTAAGTTTGGCTTATAGTTAATTTTGCGCTGGTATTAAATCTTAGATTTAATTTTCTAATATTTTAAAACTTTTATTAAGAAATAACATTCAGGATTTGTAAAAACTTGTCAGGTTCTCGCATTATCTATAATTAAAAAAAATGATATGCTATATAAATATGTACATCCCAAGGGTGTAGTAAAGTTAAGCTGTACACTATGGAAACACAGTCACCTGCAGGGGAATAGACTGTGGACTGCTATAAACTTAATAAACCTGCTCTATATTTATTTAAAACCTGGAACGAGGTTCTGACCTAAAGAAAAACATATCAGAGGAACACAACACCAAGTTACAGGTACCCAGCGGTTAAACTGCCTGAGTGTCATGGGAGTTGAACTTTATCAACAGCTACAAAGATTGGTTGTGTTAGGGGGCCTCCTGGAAAGTCACGTATTCAAAAACGAGTCTTAAAGGAACACTAGCAGCTCTGTGTGATATCTGTATTAGAATTAAACCCACAACATCCGTCACTAGACCTCCAACCAAAAGCTGTAAGCCAAATCATTACAAGAAAATTTCCAGGCACTCAAGGTGTTAAAGCCGCAGACAGTTTTAATAGAACAAAAGGAGCTGCAACGTTTCGACCTGATATGTGGTCTTCGTCAAGGTTGACAAAGACCTCGTAGCAGGTTGAAATGTTGCAGCTCCTTTTGAGCGCCTGGAGAATTTCTTGTGCTGCTTTGTCGTTGTGGGATTGCTGGTCCTGCTCCGGAGCACCAGGTGACTGCTGGGATTGAGTGCAGCTCCGATTACTATTTTTGCAGTAAGCCAAATCATTATGACAATATAAATGACTTATTACGAGGTGGCTACCAGGTAGCATTAAAATATAGTTCAGCTCTAACTCTAAGCTTCACATTTAAGCTTATACAGTCTCAGATTTTCCACTTCCTCAATTATTTGAAACCTATGGTTTTTATGCTGTAACTAATCACATCCTTTCTGACCCAGGTTTAAAGTTTCCTTAAGGAACTGAGAACCCAAGAGATAAACTCCTGGATTAGATTAACATATGCACAGATTTCATGCGCAGTGCAATGCATTATGTCTGAATACAGAGTCACCTTTATTTGACTGGATTTGTGTCACTTTTCTCTGAATTAACTCAATAGATTTTGGGCTTATAAGCATCCTGATGCCAAGGAAATTAGAGGAATAAACAATATTTCTAAATAGAATTGTACCCAAAAAATTAAAATAAAAAATATGAGTTACGTTCCAGAAAGGCTTATTTTTTAATATTTTGAAATTTTTCATGGAAAACACTGAAAAGTAATGAATGAGTCAAACCTGTCTTAATGTGTTATCCACTATGGAATCTCTAAAGAATCGAAACATTTTTGAATAAAGTAATTAATTGACAAAAACTTATCTTTGGCTTCCAATTTGGCTATTGTGGCCTCAAATTCTCAGTATAGTGAAATAAATGGACATTATTTGGAATTCAGCTGTGTCCCTAAGTCTCTTGAATGGGGAGTCAAACTGCAAAACCCCTATTTATTACTGGACTATAACACATATAGCGCCATGGTTTGCAAAGAACTATGGGAATGTTAGTTTGAACATGTCTGGAGGGCTCAATGTTTCAATGTCTAGCTTAGCATCTAATCCAGGGGTAGGCTACCCTGGGCACTCTAAATGTCATGAACTACAATCCCCATAATGCTCTTACAGCAATAATGCTGGCAAAGCATCAGGGGAGATGTAGTCTACAGCATCTGGAGTGCCTTCAGTTGCCTAACCCTGATCTAAATGCTACAGTTGAATAGGCAATATGCTATAGCTGAATAAACAACACCAGTCTGGCTTCTCAGAAATCTCTGAAGCAGTAGCAATGTGACAATCTATCTAATAAAGAATCAAAAAACTAAAATAGTGGCTACGGGCACTGCTTACAGTTTGCAGCATGTCACACAGAATTGACACAGTTAAATCATGACTGTCATACCTTCTATCCCAATTAACTCTATTTCCTTACAGACTATTCACTGCACTGTCCCAGTCCTCGATGATATAATATTTTATATTTTTTTACAGCAATACAAGCATGTACATTTCCATACAGTCTACAAGCATTTGACAGAATAATGGGCAGTACGGACATCGATATTAATATATGATAAATATATCTCACAGCATTATCAGACAGACACTTAGAATTAACATGTAACTGGTGACGGTAGATAATTTGACAAAATGACATATACCATATTGTTTAAAACAGGCCAATAGGTAGATCTCCAGCTCTTAGTATCTTACAACCCTTTGTAAGCCTTAAGGCTGCTTTAAAACAGATAATATGAGAACTCCGAGAATGGGCAAAAGCTTAGAGAAACTCAGTAGCTTGCTCGTTGGTTAGTCTCCACTCAGATCTCAAAAATGTCTTTGCTCAAACACTGACGTGGCCAAATGAAGGCCAAAACAATCATCCGGGCTTGCTGTACCTCTCGTGCAGAGAGAACTTGCCGGCATTTTGGTTCTGGACTGCTCTTATGGGTGAGATCAGTCCGATGTGCGATAGTATTGGTTCACTCTGTAATGGCACCAATAAGCAAAAACTATTTTGAGACCTGAGCAGGGATTTAACAATGGCAAAGTTATTGAGTTTCTCTAAGCTTTTGTCTATTCTCAGAGTTCTCATATTCTCTGTCTTTGTTTAAAGCTGCTTTAGACTATACGACTATCTTCACTGTCTGTGCCAGTATACCAAATGTCGTGTTAGTCTCTGGGACGATCTTCACTTTCTGTGCCAGTATACCAAATGACGTGTTGGACTCTAGGACTATCTTCACTGTCTGTGTCAGTATACCAAATGATGTGTTGGACTCTAGGGCTGTCTTCACTGTCAGTGCCAGTATACCAGAGTGTTGTTTTAGAGTCTAGGACTATCTTCACTGTCTGTGCCAGTATACCACATGTCGTGTTAGACTCTAGGACAATCTTCACTGTCTGTGCCAGTATACCAAATGTCGTGTTAGACTCTAGGACAATCTTCACTTTCTGTGCCAGTGTACCAAATGTTGTGTTAGTCTCTGGGACTATCTTCACTTTCTGTGCCAGTATACCAAATGACGTGTTGGACTCTAGGACTATCTTCACTCTCTGTGTCAGTATACCAAATGACGTGTTGGACTCTAGGACTATCTTCACTGTCTGTGTCAGTATACCAAATGATGTGTTGGACTCTAGGGCTGTCTTCACTGTCAGTGCCAGTATACCAGAGTGTTGTTTTAGAGTCTAGGACTATGTTCACTTTCTGTGTCAGTATACCAAATGTTGTGTTAGACTTTAGGACTATCTTCACTGTCTGTGCCAGTATACCAAATGTCGTGTTAGACTCTAGGACAATCTTCACTGTCTGTGCCAGTATACCAAATGTCGTGTTAGACTCTAGGACAATCTTCACTTTCTGTGCCAGTGTACCAAATGTTGTGTTATATCTTCACTTTCTGTGTTAGTATACCAAATGTCGTGTTAGACACTAAGAATATCTTCACTGTCTGTGCCATTATACCAAATGTCGTGTTAGACTCTAGTACCATCTTTACTTTCTGTGCCAGTGTACCAAATGTCATGTTAGACTCTAGGACTATCTTCACTGTCTGTGTCAGTATACCAAATGATGTGTTGAACTCTAGGACTATCTTCACTGTCTGTGCCAGTATACCAAATGTCGTGATAGAGTCTAGGATTATCTTCACTTTCTGTGTCAGTATACCAAATGACGTGTTAGACTCTAGGACTATCTTCAATGTGTGTGTCAGTATACCATATTTTGTGTTAGACTCTAGGACTATCTTCACTGTCTGTGCCAGTATACCAAATGTTGTGTTAGACTCTTGGACTATCTTCACTCTCTGTGTCAGTATACCAAATGACATTTTGGACTCTAGGACAATCTTCACTTTCTGTGTCAGTATGCCAGATGTCGTGTTCAGGGCCACCATCAGGGGGTGACAACCGCCTGGACCCCCACGTGGAGCGGCGAAACTGCCGCAGGTGCATTTAGGGCCACCCGATGCGCCCCATATCTTCAGGGGCCCGGTCAGCGCTGCAGCCGTGTAATAGCGCAACCGTGCCCCTTTAAAAAAAAATTGCGGCTGCACCTCCAAGTCACTTCCTCCAAGCTTACTCCGTGCGGGGGGAGAGACAGCCGAGGACAGGAGAGGCATCAGCTCCCATCATCCCCAGTCACCCTCCTGCAACGAAAAGGTAAAGAAGTGGAGGGTGGCTGATAAATGAGGTGTGTGTGTATATGTGTGTGTCTGCATGTATGTATGTGTGTGTGTGTGTGTGTATTTCAGTATGTATGTATGTCTGTGTGTGTCTGCCTGTCTGTATGTATGTATATATCTATCAGTATGTATGTGTGTATGTATGTCAGTATGCATCTATGTATGTGTGTGTGTATGTCAGTATGTATATATCTATCTGTATGTGTGTGTGTATGTCTGTATGTATGCATAACAGTATGTATGTGTATGTATGGCATTATGTATGTATATATGTCAGTATGTATTTATGTGTATGTATGCATGTATGTATGTATTCCAGTTTGTATGTCTGTTTGTCAGTATGTATGTACGTCAGTGTGTGTATCTATATGTAATTATGTGTGTGTGTGTGTGTGTGTGTGTGTATGTATCTGTATCTCCTTATGCATGTGTATGTGTCTTTATATGTGTGTATGTCTGTTTCAGTATTTGTGTCTGTTAGTATGTGTGTATCTTTCTGTGTGTGTGTCTGTGTCCTTTTGTGTGTGTGTATTCCTGTGGGCGGGATTTGGAGGCAGGGCTTGGAGGCAGGCACCCGGGGACCCAGACCTTTAGCTGTGTAAGGGGGCCCCACAATTTCTGATGGTGGCCCTGGTCATGTTAGACTCTAGGACTATCTTCACTTTCAGTGCCAGTATACCACAGAAAGTGAAGATAGTCTGCAGTTTAATATTAGAGTATAACTATAAAAGAGGTTAAAGTGTGCCAGGCAGAGGTATTGGAATAGAGCCACCAGAGTACTCACTTTTCTGCAATTCATACGTCGCACTCCTGCACCTCTGCATCATTTAACCATCCACTGAGCTCTTTATAAAAGCCTGAGATTTCATTTTACGATTTTGTTTAGACCTTTTCCATTTTCTTTTGTTGCAGTATTGTTTTCCTCTGTTGTCCTGATTTCATCTAGTTACTTTGTATCCTATGTATCGCTATCCTTTAATTATTTTCCTATGGTTTCTGGTTTAACTTTCTCCTATATCTTGTGCACTAGTATCCATGATAGTTGTGTACCCAACTGTCCAACATGATTATAAATCTATTTATCACATGAACACCTACACTGTTTGTACTGTGTTTTGGACTTTTCCTTTGATCACTAGTTACTGCAAGAGCCAAGTGCTTCCATCTCAACAAGTTAAAAGCAGAAGTTCCTGTAACATAGTTAAAACAATATTTTTAGAACTTTGTGTAACCTTACCAGAAGAAGAAAAAAAACATTATACCATAGAGTTCTGAAAGTATAGAGACAATGGTCACAATTTCATAATCTCTCCAGATGATTAAGAACTGTTCGAAAAACTTTCTATATGATTTATCTACAGACATTCGTATAGGCTTTGGTGGTGTATCCTGTAGTTAAATATTTCAGAACGTTTTACTAACAGGATTGAAGCATTTGGAAAACACATTAAATTGTGGCCTATATTAACTCATAAAGAGGATTTATTCAGTTACCTAGAAGCATTCATACCTCCTCTAGTTCGTAGGGGATCTTCTGAGCAGGGTCCTCTATAACTGCTTTTTGTTAACACTTATTCTTTCATAGTTATTTTCTATTATATCTCCAAATCAAAAATGCCATGTGAAACATGGTGGTGCTGTATTAATGCATATAATAATGAAGATCTGTTTAAAGGTCAAAAAAATGGGTCGCAAGAGTATACTGAGAACGGGCAGCAGCTGAAGTAGCCTGTCCTTCGGTGGGTCCCCGCTCAGATCTCAAGCTGGTTTTTGCCATTACAGAGAGAACATATCTAAAGCACATCAGACTGGTCCCACCCATACGGGCAGTCCAGATCCGAAATGCCAGCAAGTTCTCCCTGCACGAGAAATACAGCAACCCCAGACGATCGTTTCAGCCTTGTTAGGCATCATCAGTGAGGCATAGCTGATATCTCCCTAGGCACCGTGAGCAAGGGGTCCACATCTGGATTATCCCTTTAAACTTGTGGAGAACAAAAAAATGGGTCGCAAGAGTATACTGAGAACGGGACTATTTCTTCCCTGATGCTTTGCCAGCAGTGTGACTGTAAGAGCATTTTAAGAGATGTGGTCCACAATATCTAGGGTGCTGAAGGTTGGCTAACACTGGTCTAAAGGACAAAAGGTAGGAGCACAGAGTCATAGATTCTGTTCCAAAAATAGGTGACATGCGGTCGACTTCTCCTTAGCTTTCCTTCAACCAAATATACTTAGACTAAAATGTTTTGTGTTCTTTTTTTACTTGCTCTCTGAATAAAGAAAGTGTTAAAATATGTTGTATACTTTTTCTCTAGTTCCCAGCTCCTACATTGGCAATTCTTCATTACAAATGACTTAATACTTTTCAAACAAATGGAACAAAAAAAAAAAGAAAAGTAAATCATTACACTTCTGACAGCTCAAAAAAAGCCAATCACATATTAGAGAACAAAATCCCTTCATTAAATTTGCATTAACTTCATTATGTCGTGAGCAGTATTAGTTTTCGTGGGTGATAAAAGTCATATCACAGTGATGTGGCCTAAAATTAAAATATCCATCAAGTTTAAACAAACATTTATTTGGCAGAAAGACTTCTCCACTCCTAGCTGCCTCCTAAATGAAAATCTGATAAGGTTTGCAGGGACTTTAGCTACAGTTAATGCTTAAGCCAACAATGTTTGCTCAACATTATAGTGGCTTTGCAGCAAGTGGTAGTAAATTAATTTAAATCATTAGCATTGCCTTGTGAAAGTGAGAGCAGTTCTGATCTGCAGAAGGTATTTCTTTGCTTTTGATAATAGTGCAGTGATGACCTCACTTTTAAACAATAAAATGAAGACTAAAGTGCAAAGCTGCACACGGCAAGGCTAGGATTAAGAACGAGTGCTCGGAGTGCAACATGGGTGGTAAAAACGAGCCTGCTGAAGCTGCACAGTGACCTAGATTTCTTTAGATCGCATTCTTTTTACAGATAAATCATCCTAAATAAATGACACTGATTAGCTCACCACTGTTTAAGTAGGAAAACTCAGAATACCAGGCCTGAGGGTCCCTGAAGTAGCTCATTGACTTATCAAATAGAAAATTCAGTGGTCTGTTTCATGTAACCAAATGTAAATAAATGTAATTGTTTGAATACATAGGCATTCTGTCTGGTTGATTTGGTTATAGTGACTGGTGTCGCCTGGCACGGTCTCTCCATTTAGCATTAAACCATGTTTGAGCAATTTAATAATGAACCCTAACCCTACCCCTAACCCTAACCCTAAACCTATCCCTAACACTAACTTTAAACCATTTCGGAACTTCGGCAATTTGGAACTTCGGCAGTTTGGAACTTCGGCAGTTCGGTTCGGCATTTCGTCAATTCAGAAATTCGGCAATTCGAACTTCGGACATTCATAAGCATCTGAATGTCCGAATTGCGGGAAATTCGTCCGAATATACATTCGGAACAAAACTAATTGTACATGTCTACAATTTAAATCAGCAATGGCGGACTGCAATATGCTTAAAACGGTCAGCTGAGCAGTTTAGTTTAGCATAACCATAAAAAACTGTTTAACACTGAACGGAAGGACAGTGACAGGAGAATTCCAGACTTCAAGGAAGAAGCTACAGTGCTTACAGACTCCCTTTAGTGAACCTGTCATGGTACACACAACTTGGGTTTAAAATAAAAAGTATAACATTTTATATATAACTCATGCTAGCAGAAATGCTAGCAAATGCATAGCCCTTTATAGTTTTGGCCTCTACCTTACCCGTCAATCAGTCTCTGTCGTTAGACCTGTCTACTA